CTGCATTTAACCACTGCGCCACCTTGGCTCTTACGCGCCACCTTGGCTCTTACTTGGCTTAAATATTGGAAGACTGCTCTCATGTCTCCCCTAGTTCTTCTCTTCACTAGACTAGCCATGCTGAGTACTTGCAAACATTTGTTTAGGAACCATTTGAAATTACAACAGAACTGAAAAAAGGGAGTTATATGACCATTTTTTCACACTTACGACCACTGCAGCGTTCCCGTGGACACATGATCAAAATTTGGATGCTTGGAGACCAGTTCATATTTATGATGGTTTCAAGTTCCCGGGATCATATGATCTGCTTTTGCCACCTTCTGACAATGGGGAAGCCAGATTCACTTAGTGACCATATTACTAATTTAACAACTGCAGCGGTTCACTTAACAACTACGGCAAGGAAGATCTTAAAATGAGGCAAAGCTCATTCAACCAATGTTTCGCTTAGCAACGTACATTTTGGCCTCGATTGTGGTTGTAAGCGGAGGATTACCTTGTACTAATTTCTGGGCAGAGGGAAGGTGCTTGAGAAGAAGAGACAAGATAGGAGTCAGCATCATTTAGCACAGGGGTCTTCAACCTTGGCACCTTTACGACTTGTGGACTTCAATTCCCAGAATTCCTCAGCCAGTACATGCTAGCTGAAGAATTCTGGGAGTTGAAGTCCACGAGTCGTAAAGTTGCCAAGATTGGAGACCCCAGATCTAGCAAGTCTAGAGAATCAAGAAGGGGGATTAAAAACTCATGTTTTCTCCTTTTCCAGAAGAGTTGACTCTTCCACCCTCCCAAACTAGCTGGGCCAGCTGAACTACAACGCCCATCATCCCCCACCAAGACAGGGAAGCCAGACTGAGTTGCTACACTGCAACATTGGGCCCCCTGAACTCTTTCTCTCCCATTTCTCTCCCCCCTCGGCCCTTGTTTTCCCTTCACTTTGGTGCCCGCCTATTTCGGCCCCCCAGTGCCCAGCAGTACGGCGCTGATCAGCCTCCGGGCCCGCCGCGCTCCGCTCGCAAAGGTTCCGCCGCTTTGCAAAATACGGGAAGCGATTGAAAAAATAATAATAATCTCAGGAATGCAATGTATATAAATCTCGATATACCTTCGCGGAAGACGCTCAGGGTCCTGTCTCGGGCTTTTAGCAACTCGTTCTGCCCTTTCTCAGCCATGGGGAGCGCAGGCAGGCAGGCCTTCCCGGGGAGCAGAATCAGCCCCTTACAAAAAAAAAAAACGGCAGGAGAAAAAAGTCAGGGACTTGACAGGCGAGGGGGTGAAAACTAATGGAGGAGGCGTGGTCTAGGAAGCCAGGGGCGGGGCTGGGAGGGCACAGAGTGCCCACACCCCCCTGGAACAGAGGGAGGGGGAAACTCAACTCTTAAACCCTGGGGAATTGCATTTCCTTGCTCTTGGGGTAAATGCATTTCCTTGCGTTTGAATGCATGCATTTCCTTGCATTTGAATGCATGCATTTCCTTGCATTGCATTTTTTTAAATAGTTTCCTCGGGATCCAAGCATCCCAGCGTAGGATCGCGAGCGATGCTTGCAATAAAATTAGTTTCCTACTTTTAGGAGTTGCATGGGTTGGGCTTGGGCGGGGAGAGCGCTCTGCAGGCGCTCAGAGGCAATTTGCTCTCTTTGCAGTCTTGCCCCGGCAATGAGACGGGAGACAAATTGGGGTGGGTTCCCATTCATCGGGGAGGCAGTCGGGTGTAGTGGTTAAAGGCGCTGAGCTGAAAGAGGAAAAGTGTCTTAGCAGGGAGGTCAGCTGGGGACTTGGCGCCAGCCCCTCTCTCTGGAAATTGGAAGCAGATTAACAAAGTTGAAAGGGACCTTATAGGTCATGTAGTCCAACACTCCACCCAAGCAGGAGACCCTACACCATTTCCAACAGATGGCAGTCCAATCTCTTCTTGAAAGGCTCCAGTGATGAAACTCCTTCAACTTCTGAAGGCAACTTCTGTTCCATTAGTTGATTGTTCTTACTGTCAAAAAATTTATCCTGATTTCTAGGCTGAATCTTTCAGTTTCCATCCATTATTCCTCGTCTGGACTTTGGGTGCTTTGGAAAATAGCTGGACCCCCCCCCTCCCTCTCTGTGGCAGCCCCTCAAATATTGGAAGACTGTTCTCATGTCTCCCCTGGTCCTCCTCTTCACTAGACTAACAGGGCCCAGTTCCTGCAACCGTTCTTCATATGTTTTAATCAATTTCAATCTCTCTCAAATCTCTCAATCTCTCTCAATCAGCCCTGGAAAGAAGACAAGGTTGAATTTTAACTTTGTTATTAATTGGATTTCTCATTGTGCATTTCGTCATGTTTATATATTTTTTTAATTACATCCCGGCATTATTGTTTTTAATAAACAACTTAAGGCAGTAAACACACCTAAAACTCTTTCCTCCTCCTATTTTCTCCACCAGAATAACAACCCTGTGAGGTGGGACTAGAACTCACTCTCTCCTGGTGACTGACCCAAAGTCACTCAGCCCGTTGCTGCGCCTAAGGCGGAACTAGAACTTTCAGTCTCTTGGTGATTGGCTTAGAGTCACCCAGCTGGCTTACCTGCTAAGTGGGACTAGAAGTCACTTGGTGAGATGGCCAGTGTAGAAATTTCATAATCAATAAATTGCTTTTGAAAATGTGACCAAGAAAACTAGAGGGATTTATTCTTATTGAGGATTTAAGCTTGTGCTGGAGTGGGAGCAGAAGGCTATCTTGCCTCGGGCACAAGGACACATCTTAAAGTCACCAATTGGGGGGGGGGGAACGGGACACTTCTCCAATTAATCATGGGAAGTTCATCAACAATCAGATCTTTTTTGTGTAATGCTGTAGGAAGTTATCACCCAGCCCTCTCCCAGAAAAATGAAATATCCTAGGAAATATTGAAAAGGCAGAATATTTCTCTGGATGTGAAAAGANCAAATACCCTTCTCCCCTGTCCCCTTATTTCAGTTTCCCCTTTGTCTACACATACGATACTATTATATGCATTCCTTAATTTTCAATCCTTCATTATGTACGTTTCCATTTATACATGTTTGTTCATCTCTACCTATACATTGCTAATTTCTAATTCCTGTGTCTTCTTCATTTAGTCTTTCCTTAAGCTTTACACCTGCTGAAGGATATGTACTCATTTTATGTGTGTTCATGGCCATGTTATCATTATTTATATCCATCTATTTGTACCAATCTCATGTGATAATGTCCATGTCTATCCTGTTACCTTGTACATGTTGACAAATAAAAAAAAAGTATGATTAGTAAATGTGGGTTAACCCTGGGATATGTTGTACGAACACAAGGAAATGCACACACACACACACACACACACACACACACACACACTTTCCATTCAAGTTCAGCCATACCGCTTAAGGCTATAATCCATGCACATCCTTGGAGACCATCTCTTCCAAGAGACTTTGCTAGATATGAAGCCTATATCTTGTGTGCACATATGCACCTACAAAGCAGGTATTTTAGGAACTCATAGCCCAAGAAAACCTATGGAAAAAGTCTGACTCCCACTGTAAACAATATCGCTTCCTTTCCAGCAGACCACCATAAGACTATGTTAATTGGATGGGTTTTCCAGAGCAGTTCCTGGCTTTTTGCTTTTTGCAGAACCTAAATACACTTGCTGCAAAGTGTGGGGAATGCCAGAACCTGTATATTTCTTATATGCCTGGCTAGCTTTCCTTGGTTTTTTTTTTTAACAGCTTAGTTAAGGCCAAAAGAAAGCCATCTTCTACCCCAACCCAATCAGGAAGAATTTTAACGGTGGATTTGAAACAACTGTCACTCCGCAAAGCTTGGTTTTTTCTTCTTCTTCTCATTTTTGAATTCATAGTTTGGCAGAGCAAGAGAAAACGACCAAAAGGGAGCATTTGAAAAAAATAGTTGAAAATAAAGCGTGGTCCGTTTATTCAAATAGACGAAGTCAGAGTGCTATTGGGCACATTAGAAAGGGGGGGGGGAGGATTGAGACTCCTAAGGCTGATTCAAAGGTCTTGTTCTCATCTTGGAATTCATGACTGTTGACTTGTCTGTGCTCCATCTCCGGTTCAAACTCACAAGTCCAAGCAATTACCAGGCATTGGAGCGGGGTCGAAATAAGGCCATGCGAAGGCGACTCGGGCCAAGCCCGAGTTTACCCTGAAGGAAACTCGCCGGGCTTGCCACCCTATGCCGATCGGAGACGCCGCAAAGGTTTCAGCAGAAGTTGCGCATCCGCGCAAAGTGCCCTTTTCCTCGGATGCTCAACGCGCTTCGAATTCTAAATCCAGATTTGTTATTATTTTTTAACGCAGACCTTGCAACTCGGATTCTTGTTTCCGCCGCGATCCGGGTGTCTAAAGAGGATCGGGCTGCGTTTTGGGGGCAAGGGTTTTTTTCTCAGCCGGCTCGAACAACCAAGAACTGGGGAGCGACACCCAGAAGCGGCAGAGCAGAGAGATCGGCCGGTGTTGCCTCCCCGTTTTTGATGCCCTTTCTCCTTTCCTCGGCGCTCCTCTTCCAAACCCGCCTGATTTTCCCGGGCGTTTAAAGGGAAAGCGCGCCGCGCTCCATCCCCCCTACAATCCCCCACCGCCGGGAACCGAATTTAGCGGCAAGCACACGGACCGCGATTCCGCCGATCGCCGCCGCGGCCTCCCGGCTTCTCCAACGCGCGCTCAGGCGCCGCCCCTTGAAGCGGCTCTTTCTCCTCCCAGGAAGCCGCCGTGACGGTGAAAGGCTCTTCTCTCCGGAGCAAGTGGACGAGGTGACACGCCGCGCCTCCTCCGAAAGCCGCCGGTGGGCGAGCCTAGCCAGCCGTTCGCCCCGGGGGAAGAGAAAGGAGAGAGGGCGAGAGCCGGGCATGCCTCCGCCGAGGCACTCGCGCCCCTGAGGGAATCGGCCGCCGACGCCGACTCGCGCCTCCTTTTCTGACACCGGGCTGGGGCGCACGAGATCTGGGCATCGCGCCTCGTTTGGAGAGGTCTCTGCTGCACTCGCCGGCTTTCCCCTTCGCCCTTTCCCGGGGAAGGAGGAGCAGGAGGAGGAAGAAGGGAGTGTGCCGAGGGGTCTCCCCCCTCCGTCGGTCCGCAGCGCATGAGGAGAGAAGCGCCCTGAGGACGCCTTCCTCCCGGGCTTCGAGAGACTTGGCTTGGTTTGGCGAGGCTGCCCGTCGGCATTCACCTTGGTCTTGCGCTCCTTCCATCTCCGCGGGCGCGGAGGGAGCCCCCCTCGTAAACATGGCGAGCGATTCTCCGGCTCGGAGCTTGGACGAGATCGATCTGTCCGCCTTGAGGGTAAGGGAGGGATACGGGGCGAGAGAGGGAGAGAGCCGGGGTGAGGTGGGGAGGGGGAGAATAAAACCCACCCGAACATTCCCCCCCTTTTTCCCATTCCTCCCTCTCTGCCCCCTGCCCGTTTCCTTCCTGCCCACCCCCGTTTCCCCGTTTTAGGATTTGAGCATCGCCTTAAGTTTGCAAAAAAGGGGAAGCTGGTTGCAAAGAAAAAAGGGGGATGTTGGGGGACATAATCTAGATTATTTCACACACACACACACACACACACACACACCCCTTTTGCGGGACGCGGAGGAACGTAGGTGCTCGTTGATGTTTTGCTGAGAATGAAACCCGGGCGAAAAGCCCCCCCCCACCGGGAGGAGGAGGGGTGGAGTGGTTGGGAAAGGGAAGAAACATCTGTCTCTTGCTGTCCCTTTTTCATGGTGCATCTCTCGGCTGCAAGTGGAAGGAAGGAAAGAAAGAAAAAAAGGGGGTGGAAGGTTGATTGGGGGGAGAGCTGTTTTGGAGATCACCTTTTGCACATTTGAAAAGCTGTTAATTTCACACTTGCACATCAAGTGTTTTTCCCCCACTCTCCTTCCTCCCCCCCCCCCCCCCCCCCCCCCCCCCCC